AGCAGACTCCCTGTTGAGCATGAACCCCACCCCCCACTCCCACCCTGATGTAGGGGCTCTATCCCAGGACGCTGGGATTATGACCTGAGCCAAAAGCAGACACTTACCCTGCTGATCCACCCAGGCGCCCCTGGTTAAAAATTTTTAAGTTGCTTTTCAGAAAGTCTGTACCAATTTATACTGCCTCTGTGGGGCACTTTCTCATTTTCACTACCTGCATAAACTATTATTTAAAAAAATACCTTCCAGTTTAATAAAGATGGGACCTAGTTTCTAAGTGTGTTTATAGGACTACTGATGAGTCCGAATGTGTTTTACCTAATGGATGATTTCTTTGTTGTTTTTGATTTATTTATGGTTTATGGTCTGAAATCTTTTGGAATATTGATATTTTCTTACTTGTAAGAGTTTTTTATATATCAAAACTATTTTCTTACTTGTAAGAGTTATTTTTATATTAGGAACTTGTCCTACCATCAGTTTTGTAAATATTTCCTCAATTTATAGATTGTCTTTGTCTTTTAATTTTGTTTATGGCAAAAGCTAATTTTATGTAGAGGTTAGTATTATTATCTTTTTCTGCCTTGATTTCTTTCTCTGTGTTTGATTTCTTTTTTAGTCTTTGATCAATAAAATTGTCCCCATAATCCCTCATTAAAATGCTTAACAATATCTGGCATGTGGCAGGTTTGATAAGTATTAATAGAGTATATATAGTACTTTGCTCCACCTGAAATTTGTTTTTGTAATAGTATAGGACTTGACCTGAATCTTAAGCATTAAGTCCTAGACATCAACCAGTTTCTATTTAACAGTAGGGGAATATTAAATTCTAACATGCTCATGATGTCAGGTTGCTATAAATGTTAGGATCTCTTTCAGGTCTCATTATTTTTTCTTTTCTTTCTTTTTTTAAAAAAAGATTTTATTTATTTATTTGACAGAGAGAGAGATCACAAGTAGGCAGAGAGGCAGGGAGAGGAAGAGGGGGAAGCAAGCTCCCTGCCGAGCAGAGAACCCGATGAGGGGCTCGATCCCAGGACCCTGAGATCATGACCTGAGCCGAAGGCAGAGGGTTAACCCATTGAGCAACTCAGGCGCCCCTCATTATTTTTTCTTGATTTAACTACCTAATTATTATGTTAGTATAAACCAAAATCATTGTTGCTTTATAGTAAATTCTTTATGATCATTTTGAATATTTTCTTAGCTACTGATAGCTTTTTTCCATTTTAACATTATATTCATATAATGATTTCCATCCACACACTAAAAACTTCAAAAAATATTCATTAAGATTTGATTGGGCTTATACTGACCCTTTATATTACAACAGTTTTTCTCCTAGAATATTTAGAAAATGTAGCTGAAGAAAACTTAATTGGGGAAGAATAGCCATTTTTATTAAAAGTAAAAAGAAAATGGTCTGTTCTTAAATTGTCAGAATTTTTATACCTCTCGGTAAAAGTCTGATTTTCTTCATAAAATTCATTACTTGTTGTGATCATTCTTTATTTTTAAATTGTTGGCTTTGTGAGTTAATTTTTTACCGTTTGTATTGTATTATATATATATTATATATGTATTATGTGAAAAACTCTTGGATTACTATTTTAGTCTTGCTTTTGTCTGATTATCTGCATTCCTTTTATTCTTTGAGTTGATCTATTGAGCAAATATATGTATTTTTCTGTTTTCTGTAGTTATATTTCAGTTTAAGAATCACTGAATTGAGTTCTCAATGAAAAAAACAAAAACATTGGCCCTCTTTTTAGATGAACTTTGTCTTGGAATCTTTTCTTATAAAACATGAAAGTGCGGTTGTATTAAAGTGAGGCAAGACCCTAGAATACTGCTTTCCTAGTTTTACTAATTATTACTGAGACACCTGAGGAAACTAGTTTGAAAACTATTATTGAACCATAAAACAATGTCTAGTCATGGATTCGTTGAACATTTTTATTTCTGTTCTTAATTTTGTCTGAAAATAAGTAGATTTTTGCTATGGCTTACAGTAATTTCTTCTAGTTTTAATTTTCTTGGTAGTATTTATTTTTTAACTCATAAGTGGAAACAGTTGTTTTTTTTTTAACAGTTTTTTTTAAATTCCTTTAAATAAACTTATTATGTTTATAGTGTGTTTTCATTAACTTGTTTTAAACCTTGAGTGTGTTAGAAAACACACTATGTCTTGATTCATCAGAATCTCATGTTAATTCTGTTATCTATAGTCTAATATGTTTTTATTAGCATTTTAGTTATGACAGATACCCTTAATTAGTTTTATTCTGTTGTATAAATTCGTATTTTACTTAAAAACTCAAAAGCATGAATTTAAGATTTTGCATATAACATTAGTTTTCTGTTGTTTAGTATTTTTTTATAATGCTCTTATCCTGTTTTTTCACTGTTGAGGATACTGATGAAAGTGAGATACTCAAATTTAGATCTGTAGAATTCAGCTGGAAATTGAAATAATTACATTAATAAATAGACTGAGGCAATTGCTTTAGCTCCAGTTGTTCTTTAGCTCAGACATTTGCTCTGGTAAAGGGAGAGAAAACAATTCCTATAGGTACAGAAGTGGTTTTTTTTTTTTTTTCCCTTCTTCTGATATATTGTATCTTGAAAGTAGTAAGATTTATAGTCATATCATGCTTAGAGGAGGGTGTGTTTTGTGTATTGATGAATTGCAGGACAGGTTTCTTCCTAAAACTCAAAATGTCACTTTGTTTTAGTATTTGTGTGCATTACCTGTCTTCTGAGAATAATGTTTAAGTGATAAATTGATTATTTTTTGAGGTATATTAAAAATGTATGCTAAGTAGCAATATTCTTTTTATCTTTTTAAACATATGCTCATTTAATAGTTAAATTTTGTAGTTGAGCAGTAGAAAATGGAAAGACAAACCCAAAACTTAAAATCAGCTAGGTAAAAGGGTTTTAACCACCTCATCCCAAAACAGTAGGGAACTAACCAGTAGAGTGAGTAAATGCAGTGTCACTTTTGTTTGTTCGAAGTGATCCAGTTGTGCTTCAGATAGCCACCTTTTTATAATTTCTAACTGCAACATTGCCTGTTGTTTAGATATAAATATAATGATCTCAGTGTCCGAAGAAGCAAGAGATAAGCTGTAATGCTTAAGAGTTTTCTAAGGTTTTGCCCAACAGATATAAATAATTGAAATGGAGAAGAAAATAACAAAGGGAACAGATTTCCTCTCTTTACCCTTCACTTTATTTGCACCTAACATCAGGTGCTCCTCCAGTGTAAGAAAATGGTTTTGAAGTTCCTGGGCAAAAGATGAAGATTTATCAGAGAATAGTAGAATAGAGGACAGGCTGTTTTTGCTAGCTCTTTAGACTTTATAACAGGTGTCATATGTGCAATATACAGCAGAATAACATAGTGGTTGAGAACATGGTCTTAAAGGTAGAACTCTGCTGCTTTTTACCAGCTGTGTGATCTTAGCTATTTAACTTCTTGAATGAGTCTTCCTTTCCCATCTCTTAGTGTTATTTGTAAGGATTCTATGAGATCATGTATGTAAAGTGGTTTAACACAGTACCAGGCATATAGTGCATGCTTTATCAGTAAATAGTTTCCTCCTGCCATTGTTGTCATTATTTTTATAGGGTTTTTTTGTTAATAGATGTCAGTAGGATTCCAGTTGAGATTATAGGATTCTGCTACATACTAAGAGGTGAGAAATTTAAATTATTTGCTTGAACTAGAATTTCATCACCTATAATCTTGATCAAAACAAACTAGTATAACTATTGAGAGTTTTGGTATTTTTATCACTTTAAATATTTATTAACACTTTGTTCATAAAAATTACATATTTGTTCCTGAGTTTTTTTCTTTGACCAAATGCAATGCAAATATAATTTAAAATTATAATTTCATGGATAATAAAAAAAATTATATAGTACTGGGCGTGAATAACACACAGTTAATACTTGGTGAGATGTTGATATTATAATGTAAAAATTCATATTTTCTGAAGAATTAATCTTGCATATTGAGAGTGGAGGGACAAAAATAAATTAATGAAATATTTATTTTAAAATAAAGATTTTCAGCAGTATTAGGAAACTTTATTATTTGATCCAGTGTTCTTTGAGAACAGAGTGTTACCAGCTTACTGTCAGTTCTTAAGATCGTATTCTCGGGGATATTAAAATTATTTGAAACTGATGTCTGTGCTGGGAGAAATTTAGTTATCTGTTACGAATTCTGTTTTTCATAAGTCATCTTTTTAAACTTGAATTTTTCCAGAAGGAATATGCTATCTTTTAAAGATCCTAGTCTGTAATCATAATTTAGGCAAGAAGTGCTTGGGTTCTGTTTCTGGGTGTGTACCTGTGCATGCATACATGCATACACGTATACTTTCCCCCCCTTTTCTAACTTCTGAAATATAAATGAATTACTCTACATTGAAGGAAGAGTTACTTTTGTCTCTCATCAGATTTACTTACCTGATTTGGAATTACCCTCTTATGTGTGACTTTTATTTGGTAACTTTGGCATTTAGTAATTTTAGTCTTTTTATAATCTTATAGAATAAATTAAGTGAAAAATGAACTTAACCAAGAGCTGGGGGTATTATATAGCTTAGCTTTCAAAATTATTCTATGCAGAATAGAATATTTAGATTACTAAATTGAAAATGGGAGATAAATTCAGTATAAATAGAATTCAACATATTAAATGGTAAGTACTTAAATAGTTTATGTGAGTCCGAACTTTAACAATTATAAAAATTCTGTTTAGGTACAATATCTCTTTAGAATAGAATCAAGGATAAAAATGGTTGTCATTGGAATTAGGATGAGTAATATCTTCATTAGATTAAGATTAAGTTTTATGTACTTTTATGAAATAAAGACACTTTTAAACTTAGTAGGTTACTATTTCTTGGTTTTAAAATTTGTAATGGAGCCAAACAAAATTATTTGTACTGTAACACTCAGTAAAGATTTCTTCGTTTACCTTTTTTTTTTATTAAAAACTTGGTAAAAGTGCATTGTATACATTGTCATCCTAGCATCAAGTGTTCATCAAACATTTGTAGTTTTCCCCCATCCCTCCCCAAAAAAGGTTTGAAATTGGTGACGAAGAATCATTGTCATCTACCGAATTAAAAACTGCAGGTTTGTAAACTTGGCACTCTGAGAAAGAAGTAAGTGCCATAAAATGATTAAGTGTTGGCATGTGTACACCTGCTGTCAGGAAATAAACTTCCCATATGTTGCAGTTTGGCAGATATGCATCTTAAAAATGTATCGAACGAAACTGCTGCTGCACTCTATCCTGTATCTTTTTTCAACAGTACATTCTCTTTTTGCCTGTAATTACTTTTGCTTCCGTTAGAGGAACATGATACATTTTTACAGATATGCTTGAAGTTAAGTGGTAGTACTCCTTAAGAGTGCAGTAACTGATCTAATACAATAACTCATTGAAATGCTAGCTTGGCCCTTAACACCAACCAGGAAACAAACTATTTTGAAACATTTACCTTTTTTTTTTTTTTTTCTTATAAAAACTTGAGCCTGAGACACATTGATTTTTCACATTTTATCACATCATGTCAAAATAATTTCCCCCGATATATGTACTAATAAAAGAAAATGAATGTGTCAGTTGTTTTTAAAAGGTAAATACTTAGATGAGAATTGCATTGACGAAACATCTGAATTTCATAAGTGTGTTTTATGGAATAATGCAACTAAATCTTATTGCGTAGAATATAGTTTTAGAACCCTAGAATAGTCAGGTCAGAAAATTTGTCCTTTGCACAATTACGAAGTTTCCTTAAGATTGACAGTAATGTTTTATTTACATTTAATTATATGTTAAAATGAAAAACTAATTCTAAAATGAAGGGTCTTTTGACTGTCTCCATTTCTTAAATTAAAATTTGTGTGAAAAATATATGCAAATACATCTTATTGGCCCTTAACATAAGCCTCGAACCATTGATGTATGCATGCTTGTTATTGCATGTTAATACACAGAATCCCTTTATACAGTTTTTTTAAATAGATTCTTTTGGGATACCTTTCTGTTATATAATGTTGTATTTTTGTATTACCTTCAGAAATTAAAAAAATAATTTTTGAATTCCTTTATGTGATGAGTTTTAACTAAAACTTGTCCTATGGATGTAATCAGTTTTAACTATACATGCTTTTAGCAATATTTTACAGATTGCACATTTGAAAAAAAAAATGTCTTCTCTAGTGTAATTTACGGTGGCGATACCTGCCTGCCTTTTCTTTTGCTGCGTTGGCACAAGCGTTGTGCTTATTTTGTTGTAAGTGGTTCCAGTATTTTATCAGTTCACTAGGCTGGAACTGATGAGAGGTAATTAGGTGGCTGTATTTACAGCTTGAATAAGAAACTCGCCAGTGATTGAACACAAACTCATTGGGAGGGGGCACAGGATCAATTCTCAACTTGGCAAGACAGATCCCTACATAAACATCTTCTAAGTGCAAACGACGGATACTTAAAGAAACTTTAAATATCTTCTCTGCCAGATCTCCAGAAAAAACATAACCAGTCCCAGAACAAAAGACAGGGTAGCGTTCACTTGGGTAGAGGTCTGGTGGCATGTACCACTTGCTATCTTTGTTCCGATTGGGTGCATATCCTCTCATTAGGTAACCAGTAAAATAGTTATGTCTGGGAGGCAGGTCTGGCTTCAATAACTTATGTATTAAATATTCAGTGTTGACAAACATGTCACTGTCAGTTTTCATAACGTATGGAATATGTGGACAGTAGGTTGCAACCCAATTCATGCCCATAAGTGTTTTAATTGTCAAATTGTAGTATGTATCTAAATATTCCTGTTGAATTATATCATGATATTGTCTGCTTTCTTCCAGTATTGCACGTTGAAGGTAGCCATTTAACTTAATACTTACGCCCAACAAAAAAATTCGTGTGATTTGGATACCAGGTGCTAGACTTTCATTGCCCCACGTTTGCCGAATAGCTCTTCTAGCTTCTATTTGTCCAGGTTCTGCAGCTATTAGCAGTATTAAAAAAGGGCTTTTCTCCTGGCATTTTTCAGGTTCATTGATAATATATTTGAAATGGTAAGAATTTGGATGTCCGATACCTTTTTCATTGTAAATACTTCCATTGGCACTAAGTGTATTCTCCAGCCCTGTAACTCCTTGTGGCGACAGGTCTGTGTTATTGGAGTTAGTTGCTGTTTGAGGCCTCAGAGTGTGAGGGACTGTTTCTTTCCAAATGTTCCGGAGAGAACTGTGGTTTGTCTCACTTTTTGTAGAACGAAATCCTCGGAAAGTATATGTCACAGGGTTTTCTTTAAATCCAGCTCTGCCTGGCAGCCAGTCATGATGATTGAAAAATAAAAACATAGCAAAAAGGAACACTAGAGAAAGTACACCAATAAGATGGGTACGGAACAGAGACCTCTTGGCATTCCAGCTCATCTTTGCAAAGCAGCAGTGTCTTCTCCTCCACTGAAGCATGTTGTAAATATCCAGTAATGGGATATGAGATACTACCGGTGGCGGAAAATGTTTCCTTCTCCTGAATCAGTACTATTCTTTGGTAATCATTTTTAAATTCAGCCACGTTGTCTCCCATGCAGTCATTCTGTAAAGATGAAACATAAAAATTTACAAAATGCTAAATATTTACAGAACTGCCTAAAAAGAGACTTCAGATGTTAATAATATTAGGGCAAATAGGAATTTTGTAAGTTGTGAAAATACGATAACCCAGGAATGAAGTTTATAATTTGCTTACCCTTGGTAACATAACATCACTGAGGACAGGACGAGCACTTCAAAGAGAGAAGTGATGGATTAATTTTCTTCAGTTATTTCATTGTCTGAGTAGCTCTGTCATTTGTACTTTTGACCTGAGTTAAAGATTTAGAAGTTGTATGTCGGAAAAAAAAAAAAATTGTATGCTAGTAGAAGAGAAGAATGTTACTAGATTCCTGAGAGAGGCCATGTAAGAAGGCCTGAGAGCAGATGGAAAATTTATTGGCATTAATTAAAATTGATTTGACATACCATTGGTGGTATGGTGCACAGTCAGTGGCCTTTTTTGTAAAATGGTCGTGTATCAGTTGTGGGACAGACGGTGCAAGGTTGATTATGGCAGAGTTCCGTTAGTCACAGTACACTGCTTGGCATGTTTCCACTGGCCCCTACTGTGTTGAGAAAGTCAGTGAGAAGATGCACCTGTCAAAATTAATTTTCAGGGTCCAGTAACTTCAGTAGAGGATTTTAAGACAGTAGTAAATGATGAACATTTTCAAATACTCTTTCTGATTTTAACCTTCCACTTCAAAGATGAGGTATTTAAATCATAGTCCTTTCTTAGACTTAAGATTGATTTTTAAAATACAGCAATTATCCTTTAATTATCTTTGGCCTTGGCAGAACACTATCACATATCTCAGTTGAGTCTCCATGTTAGAATTAAACAAAGAACTACTTTGAACAGTCCTTTCAGATTTCTTACAAAATATAGGCACTAGGTACTGTCATAGCCAGCTGTTTAAAATCTTAAATTTTACAAAATGCCTTTTAAAAGATTCTTGAATTTTGCTGTGTTCTACATTTGTGTGCAGAGAATTTGTACATTTTTAGGACTTCTGGTAGCATGATACTTAGAACCCTAGATTTTTAAAAAGAATATGAGATGTCAGTATAGGAGGTTCGTGATGCTACATATTAAAAACTGGTGGTGTTATCTTTGAACAAGATTTTTCAGTACATAGCACAAATTTGTTCATGTTTTTTGGTTCTTAGTTTTTCTGGATCAAGATATGAGGGTAGAGGTGGGTGAAAGGAGCTGTACTTGATTTCTGTTTAAAGAGAAAAAAAACTTGTTGAGAAGGGGGCTGATAACTAATTTTAATTTTTTCAATTTTTTTGATGAAAATTATTTCTTACACAAAAGAAAACTAGTCAGTTAAATTTAATGTAGTAACGTTTATTTAAAATTCTGTGCCTGTATATCTGTTTGTGTGGCCTATGGTATTAAGAGATTCAAGCTTAATGCCAAATTTGCTTAACCTTGACATGAAATTTAATTATCTTGGGGAAGTGGCATTTACATGGAAGTCCTCATATAATTGAATAATTACAGGAAAATTCACGTGTATCATATGAAGTATTTGGAAAATATTGATTGAAAGGTTTAGACATGTATGAATGAAAGTACTATTCTAGCAGCAGCCACTAGGAGGAGCAAGTAGGTGGGAATTGGAGCAAATTTCCAAAAGTATAATAGTAAAGGGCGCCAGCTTTTGATAATTTCTAGTATCTGAAATTATGTAGTACTTTTAGAAGTTATGGTTCTCAAATGTAAAATATTGTTCAGTCATTGAGTATGATACAAACTCTTTTAAGTTTGGTGTTTTAAAAACGTAGAACCTAGTTTGTTATTTATTAGAGTTAATTTACATGAATTTTAATTTCACGTTACTATAATAAAGACCAAGGATCTTTACTGTACCAACCAAACATAGTTCTGCTGTGAACTAACCTGAAAATAAGTGAGTGTTCTGATTTAGATATTCAGATTTTTTTTTTTCCTTCCTGTACTTGCAAATAGTTGGCCATTCTATTTAGACCAGAAAACTCTTTCTAAGCTTTTATTTTCACATGAAATATTTGATAAGTAGTAATGATTCTTCTTCCACTCCATAAAGAAGCCACTAGATATAAGGGTTATGTATATAAATCTAAAGGAAAAGTTGTTTTTTAAAATTTATTTGGTAATCTATTTTAAACATTCCAAAACTAAGTTAATGTGTCACTTCTTTTGTTGCTATATGCTTGGTATCTGGTTGAAGTCCCATCATTTATGTCTTTTAAAAGTGTAAATTCGATGGTTTAAGAAGCAGTAAATATAAGGTCAGACTTTTGAATAAGTGACTGAAGAAATGAATGAAGGCAAATACCATAATAATAAATTATAATATTTTTTGAAAGAAGTATACCTCAAATGATATCTCTAAAGTATTTGTATGTTATAGAAAATAGCGTATTATTATATATGGTGATCTAGCATAAATATATAGTTTACGGTCCTATATGATTTTGTAGCAATAGGTGATGGAGATGCATCTTAATTTAAATTTATTATATTTGTATGTTTGTAAATATTAAGCTCACTAGACTTTAAATTCATATATACTCAGTTGGTAATCTCCCATTGATAAATGAAGTGCATGTGTCTAGCTTTAAACATTTCTTTATTAAAAGTTTCTCAGGTAGTCATTTTTCTGTTAAAGAGAAAGTAAAATTAAAGTAACTATTCTTCCTCTTATTAAATGTTAAAATTATTATCCAGTTACTGCCTGTTGTGTTTTAATTCTTAAAAAGTGGGAACATGAAAAGAAAGTTAAAATATTGTGGCAGTCTAAATAATTTGCACTTCTGCATTTTCAGCATAGAATTATGTTTGATTTAGCTTAGGGTTTTTGTGATGATTTTTTTCAAGTTATTAATGTGTATTTACATCTTATGAATTGAAGTTCGTGGAGAGATTGTGAAATGTTCAGTTACCTCTCACATACTCATTCTCTCTCTGTCTCTCTCTCTCACACACACACAGTTTTTTATCATTTGGCTTTTAAAAGTGTTGTTATTTTGTGTTGGCACAGTCATAGATTTTATTGGTGCTTAAATAAAAAAATTCTGCGCTTTTGAGATATCTAGCTTATAAAAATGTTTAATTGATGCTGTTAACATTGAGAGAAAAGGCTCTAAGAGAGACTTGAGATTTTTCAGAACTATATTTTTTTACTTAATACCATCTGATTTCATTCTATAGTGGAATAAAAATTCATGGTATGGCAGTGAGATGTGATAGTAATAGGGCCTGATAAACTTGTATAATTTTAATTTTAGAATGTAATGCTTATATGTCTTTTACAATGTTTGCCTTTTGTGATTATTAAATAATAGCTTATTGAGTTGTGTTGTGAGGTTGAACAATATCAGGATCTGTGATAGATCTGTACAAAATTTTTGAATTTCAGTTCCTGAGCCATGAGTTGCTATTCTGTGATTGTTGTTTAGTTTATTAAATTTATTTCTGCCCAGCACACACATACCATTGATGGTAGTTCGTTAGTACATGTTAATATAGCCTTGAGGCACAGTAGCTACGTTTAGATTTAATTTTTGTCCTTTTATTGCTGTTCATGAATATTTTTATATCATTTTCATATTCTTTTGAATTTCACTTTAAAAATTATCATCAAGAATAATCTGACATTTGATTATTTAGAATCTGTCAGTTGCTTAAAATGAAAGGTCACTTTTTCAAGTGGAATTTTTACCAACTATTGATATTTCTTTGTTTAAAGTTGCATTCATGGACACTGTAATAACATGCAAATCTACTGTGGTGGTGTGCTGTGCATAAAACTCACACTGCCTTATGTGATCCTATGCAAATGCTTTCCTTTTAGTATTCTTATAGCTCTATAATAGTATTTGTTGATACTCTCTTAGATTGTTATCTTTATTTGGGGAGATGAATCTCGGAGGGAAGATTTTTGTTAGTAAAAGCTGTTATATATTAATAACGTGTTTTTAAAAGGACTTTGAAAAAAGCTCTTAATATTAAGACCATCTTTGATACTATTTAATATAATTTTACTGCATTGTCTCTTTTGATAGCTGCTTTTAAGAGATCACTTTAATTTACTAGATAATTCATTTTGACCTAATTTGATAGAGGCTTGCGGTGCTTTCTTTAGAGGGCTACAGTTTTTTTCTTTTTAAGTTTTTTTCTTTTTAAGTTTAATTTCTCAGAGAATCCTTTAACGTCTTGTTACTACTATTTGCCTTTTCTCTCTTTTATACATTCTTTTCCTTTTCTCTCTTTTATACATTCGTAATCCAAAATTACTTCAAACTACATATTTACTTGAATAAAGCAATGACAGCTTTCACAATGACAGATTTTAAAATCATCTAGTTTCAAGGACGGTGAACTGGAGGAACTTGTTTATCAGATATTAGTGCCTCCTCAGCTATGAAAAGGTAACAGACATTTAAATGAATATTACACACAAGATATCGACATACCTTCCTTGGTCAGGCCATTTATGTGGAGAGGATTATGCCCACTGAAAATACTTTTGGCACGCCATCACTTCAGCAAAAAAGATGCTATCGAACATGCGCACATCCCCCAATAGTCTGCCTCCTGCGATTGCTTTTCACAGTATCCAAAGTGTCCATCTGTCTGCTTGTCTTCGAGTTACCCTCCTTGTTCATATGGATCCTAGTCGTCTGAGATTTTTCCTTTCTTTCATTTTCTTTCTCGTTCTTTAAACAAAAGAGCTCTAGTTGTCCGCTCTATTCGGAGCACTGTTGACTCTTGCCGACAGTTGATGCATTGAAGCTTTTTACATCTGCCGTTTTCCTGGCCGGACAATGCAGTGCTGTATTCTCTTCTCAGTATCCATATTTCTAGTAATAACACCGAGCTGCAATGTAAAGCAGCCAGAGCTAGAATGTAGTGCTTCGATTGTATTGGAATAGAATAGGATTTAACTCTCTTTCGCTGTTGCCTGGCAGCTGCAGGAAGGATTTTGAGCAGTTTTACTGAGATTTTAGTCTGTAATATGCAATCCACGGTTCCTCAGCTGCTGCACAGGCAGGCAGCAGTTTAAATGTGGGCTTGACAGATGCTCTCTCTGACAGAGCAGAATTTAACGTCACTGCTTGGCTGAGTCCCACGTGATTGTTTGCATTCATTTTGACTAAAAACCTAAGGTAGGGAGAAGCTTAGAGATGTTGCTTCTGTCTGATAAATTACATACATTCTGTGTTAGTGTACTGATGAGTGCATCATATGAAAATGGGATGATTATCAGATGGTTATAATTTTATTTTTTCCTTTTTTTTTTTTACTTTATGCTTAAGCACAGGCTTTCTAAATGTTTCAGTGTTAGATGTTGGTTTTCATGTTTCTTACATGATTTTATAGGACCTAAGCAATATAAGCTTTTATATGTAACTTGGTGCAATTTAACCCCTTCAGTGCACTCCCTTCTTTTGAAGTTTATTTTCTCAAATTGCTCCAGTTTTACTAGTCTCTAGATAAGACTCCGATCATTTTTTTTTAATTTATAACTAAAATACTCCCACACCCAATTTTCTAGAGTTTATAAATCAGCTAGAGTGGGTCACTTAATGACGTGTGATGGGATATAGCTCACTTCTTTTTTGCTCTTAAAGTACTTTCTAGTGTTCTTGAAAGCAGCAAAACTTTTTATTCTTCATCACCTTTTCGTGTCAGCATTTATTTTCTATTTTTCCTTTTTTTTTAAATTAACATACATAAAATTCAACAAAATGATATAGTGGATATAACACACTTGTACAGGATCTTCTTGGTGAAAAATAAGGTTTTATTAATTGTATGTATTTCTCCTAATATTTCAGGATTGTTTACTAAGTTGCCTCTAAGCACATTTTTTTAGTAAGCACTAGATACGCTGAAATATTTCTTTGTATGGTTAGTCTCCTGGGCACCTTGCTTTTTTTCTGCAGAATACTGGGGCATTGTCTTTTTTTTCCCCCCCCTTAATAGCCTGAATTATCAGTTTTTCCTGTGAGACTTCAGGGACATTAACTCCTAAAAATTTATGGTTTTAGAACTTAAGCTATGTATTTGTAGTGATGTGTACACTTTATCCCACCTGTCTTCCCCCGTTAAATCTGTTAGTTCAAATACAGATTTACACTTTCTCTAATACTTTAAAATTTTTTGCCCTCATGTTTTTTAGTGTAGCTAATAAAATTTTTCTGTAGTTGGAGGAATCCTATGATCTTTTCTTTTCTTTTTTTTTAAGGAGTATATGTGACTTTCCAAGAAATGTTAGAAGGAATATTAAGAGTTTTATAATTGGGAAACCCAAGGTCAAGAGCTTTGTCTTTTCCTGGTTAAGTGTGAAGAGAAAATTGAAAGCCAGTTTTTATTTATGTCTACTCATACTTCATGCTCATTACTTTTTTTTTATATTACATGTAGGTAGCAGAGTAATGCTAAAGTGCCTACTAAAAATAATGTATTTTACAAAAGTAGAGGTGGATTTTAGGAGATCAGTATTTATCAGTAATTCCTTACGTAAGATTTGACTATGCAGCTAGCAGCAGTGACTTATGTACCCAAAATCAGACTGGATGCTAAGCTTACTAAGCTGTTAGTTAAATGACTTTTTTCCCTCATAATGATAGTGTATTATACTACCCATTTTAAAGATGAGGAACCAATGCATAGAGTTTTAAATAATTATCCCAGATGTCAGCTAACTTGTGGCAAGAGAAGCCAGCTGGGAATTAAAGCAAGATTATCTAAGTCTTTATGCTCAGTTCTTAACCATTTTACTAGGTAACACTGCTGGAGAAATTGTGGGAATTCTTTTGTAGGACTGGCACAGCATACCCAGAAATCATTCATAGAATTACAAATGGATGTTTATATTTTCACCTTACTCACTTGTCAAACAAATACATATTGATCATTTACTGTGTGCCAGTATTTATAGGTAGGCACAGTTTATTAAATGTTAGGGAGACAGAAATGGTTTAGATACCTTCCCTTCCCTTTCTCTAGGAAGGATAAAACTATTATTTTTGCTAGTTCCTTTGTTTTGACTCTTTTGGGGTCCCACTGGGTTTATTGTAGATCTTGATTATTAAGAGAACTCCCATCACATAACCTGCTGGTTAATGGTTCCCCCAGTATTGGTTTGAGCCCCTGAATTCCCAGTGGACTGTTGTTTCAACTGTGCTTGCTATGAAGCAAGGGTTAATACAGCAAAAGAGACTCCTAGAAACTAATAAAAAGGTGCCTGTCTACTTAATCAGAATTTACTTTAAACTTTTAGATACACTTGCCATCAGTTTCTTAAATTTAAATTAAGCTGCCTCAGAACTTTACATAAAGTACAGAAAAACAGAGCAGACACCAGATAAAAGTTACGTTAGTGACTTTTTCTAACAATCTGCATATTTCCAGCCAAGAGAAACTGTAAAAATCTTATGACAGGCAAGCCTGTAGAAGTTCTTCCTTTAGTCTCGTTTCTTATAACATCTGAATTCTCTGGTTAAATTTTCTCAGTAAATGTGACAGATTTGTCAGACTCAGGAAATTGGCAGCTATTTTGTTAAGTTTTATAGTTATAAATGTCTTGTAATTTTTACTTGCAAAGGTCTACTTTTTAACCTTAGAACATATCTGATGGGAAAAATAGGCTATTAACTCTAGATTTTGGCCAGAACTGTCCAGGTTGGTTTTGGGATTTTCCTGGGCATGTCTACAATAATCCTCAAGGAGGCAGAATTTAAAGACAGGATTTGCATAGCCACCTAACTCTTAGTTTCTGTTGTGTACAGAAGTAATTATTACTTTATTCATTTGGCTAGTAGTTTCTGAGTCACTATAACATGATGAATCAGATATAGATTTTCTCACTAATAATAAAGATAAATCATTTCTGGGAATTTACTACCTATATAACTTCAACTAAATGCCCTTGGTAAAAAGAATGAGGGAGAAAAGGGTGTGGGGGATAACACTTCAACCTACGGCAGGTGGTTTACTGAGAATGAGCAAATATCCTTGAAAAATTTGAGAAGGGGAGACATGAATCTGGTTTTTCCTACATTGGTCTTCATTCCTGTTGGTGCTTTATTATGAGTAATTGGCCTCTAAATGCAAGCCATTTTTTCAGTGCTGGAGAAAAATCTTAATGTTTTGGGTCACATGTCATTTCCACCATAGTACTCTGAAAAATGCCATTTGACATAATTATTTAGAGACCAGCTTTAGTTTTAATTGAGATCAGTCAACAATTTAGCATAGAGTAATGTTTGCTTAGAGTTTATATCTTTTGACTTAGAATCAGATGAAATCTTTTTCATATTATAAATACGTGGACAAATAGCGCATTTTTGGCTATTTAATAGTAGTAAGTTTTCTCTTTTTAAAGAAAAATGACTGTGTTCATGAAGAGTTTACAGTTCTCCTTTGAAGTCAGTAGATGATTTATGAACCAGTTTTACTTTTCCTGGAACTTACTACAAACCAGGAATTAGCCTGATTTCGAATTAGCAATCTCAGAATGACCACAAGTGTCAGTGTTTGCCTGCCTTATTTTTCTTCTTCAGTTTTCACCAACTTGTACAGCAGATACTCATACTATTTAAGAATTTCTTTTGACTTGAAAGCAGAGCTAAATTTAATTTTCTCTTTCAGAACTAATTTTTAACACCCTCATCAGTTTTAATTCATAGAAACTATTAATGATCCTAAGGGAAAATATAAGCATTAAGATCAGCAGTAGTTTTTATTATGCTTGTATGTTCTTCAGTTTCTTAGTATTGTAGCTGCTTCAGTGTAGCATAAATTACCTATACTCTTTCATTTGTTTTTTGGCACACAGGGAATATTCTTCTGAAGAGCTTTGGTTCTCAGTGGGAGAAATGCTATTTTCTAGGAGGTGTTCTAGAAGTTTATGAGGTTGTTTTTAGTTGACAAAATAATTGAAGGGCATTTAGTGAGTGAGGCCAGGGAAGGAGGTCTATAGTGGGTGGGACAATTTTAAATGAACCTAAAATTTAATTAGAATACAAAGTATATTTTGTGAAATTTTAACATATACTGAATTTTTCTAGGTATATAGTCATAGTGTCCAATAAAGAGGGTTGTACCCAACTTTGTTCTTAACTTGGCAAGTAGTTCACCATTTTGAAAAATCCTATTGCCTGTGGCAGTCATGTTTGTAGTAGATGACTTATCATTAGAGTACACCAGTCTGTGGACATTAGTAATCGTTACATTCACTGTGATTTTATGAATAGGTACTAGCATCGGATTACTTCATTATGTCTTCTGGTGTAATTGTTTCTGAGAGTAATACTGAAATACTTGTGTTTATCATAAATTTCTTTTAAAATTTCATTTTTGTATACGTTAAGATACTGATTTCCTTTAAAAACAGTTACATACATAGGTTGTTTATATTACCTGTGCATTTCATTTTAGATTGTTAAAAGGAATCAGTATGAAATATTTCCTACACTCAGTAGACATACTGAGTTTGATAAGAGTGTGAAGCCCACTAAGTATCTTTAAGTTCTCAGGCACCTTACTCCCTACTCCTCAACACACTGATAATATTTAAAAATGTAAACACTGTTAATTCATTACAAAGTGTAAGAAAAAAATTTGTAGATTCAGGTAGATGTAATGTGTTGAGGATTAAAACTCTGCTAAAACGTCACAGAAGTATTATTCACATATAATTTATTAGTATTAGAAAATGCTTTTTATTTAATAGCTTTAGTAGCTAAGGAAAGAAAGGAAAAAGTCAGATGGAAATAGAATGTTTTCCCCAAAGGGCTTTTTTGAGAAGAGCTGGAAGTATAAATATGCTTGATTCTAAATTCATGGAACTCTCTTCAGAATGATTATTTATGATCTGATTGGAAATAGGAACTTAAGTATAAAGAAACTTTGCAAAGCAAGAAAGAGGCAGGCAAAGGTTATAGGATTAGGAATGGGTAATATTTGACTTCAGGGTTTGATTTTCTTCCCCTTCCCCGACTCCTTAGAGGATACCTAAGGGATTCACTTATATTCAACAAATACATTGAACGTTTCTTACATGCAAACTGCAGAGGGTATGAGCTTTATC